GGCGCAAGGACTACCTTAATCATCCATCTTCAGGTGGCTCAAGCTCTGGCCGAAACCCCGGTACTCCGAACGAAGGTCGTCCAAGTTCCCATCCTCGAAACCCTAGTCTTGACGGCCTCACAATGGGACCCCTCCCGACAAACTCCCCTGTCATCCGTGTAATCCACACCGGTGGACAAACCAAGGTCTTGGATATTCGGAATTGCAGAACCCCGGATGAAGTGATTTTGTGTGTGTTGAAGAAACTACAGCTTCCTGAACACCAATACAGAAATTACTGCTTCTATGTGTTGGACGGATTGGATCCAGAACTGTCAAATTGTCGGAAGCTCACCGAATCGGAGCTGATGGAAATCTGTGATGGCTACAACAAGTCCGAGCGAGGGCGCTTGATTTTACGGAAGATCCATGCTGGGGAGCCTGATGAAGACGAGCTTCGTCGTGCGTCCCAGCTTGCGTATGATGAAAGCCAGGCCACCCATCAACACGCTCTGAATAATTCCAATCAGCGCCAGAAACACAAGATCCAGCAACTTACTGGCGAATCTTGGCATAACATTAAGCAGCCACTTTCTCCGCTGGGTCCTCGACATCGCCCCTCCACATCAAGTATTGACGAACCGCAAGGACCGAACAATGAACGCAATCCTGTGGCTAAACTCCGTTCATTCTTCGGACAGAGACCTCCAAGTGAGATGATTATTCACGAACTACAATCGTTCTTCCCCAGTCATGACCGAGAAAACATCGAAAAGACCATGCGCAGATCTCAACGTTTGAGTCGTGCCGCAAGTCGTATGAGTGTCGTGAGCAACTACAGCGTTGCCTCAAGTATGAAAGATGCCCCTCCTCTGCCGCCATTGCCCCAGTTGCCTCCGATTCCTAGCATTGCCGATGCATGGCTCCACGGCCCTGGAGTGGCACAGGCAGTACGAGCCCCGCGACCCATCTCAGTCTCCAAGTTCAACCTACCCCAAGCCTCATATCGGGATTCTATTGCATCTAGTTCCCTTCAGCCACTTCAGGAAGAGTCACCCACTGAGCCTAACCGGAAATCATATGTCTCCTTTGAGAGTGGCTCCGACGAACCAAATACCTCGCGCCAGTCGCGCCAGAGCTTTGAGAGTCTCAGTGTTGCGGCCACAGATGGCGGTTCCTTTAATGACCGCATGAGCATGATTGTCGCCGAAGATGGCGAGGAGGAGGATGATGGTCTTGTGGACTTCCTGGCTGGAAATAATTTTGCACCAAAGAATTGGATGAAGGGATCTCTGATCGGCGAGGGTTCTTTCGGAAGCGTTTATCTGGCTCTCCATGCTATTACTGGAGAGCTTATGGCTGTCAAGCAGGTTGAAATCCCATCTGCTACTCAAGGCACAGAGTTCGACCAGCGAAAGAACCTCATGGTCAATGCTCTTAAGCACGAGATCGAGCTGTTGCAAGGCATGTCCCACCCGAACATTGTGCAATATCTTGGCACCGTCGCCGACGACCAGTACCTTAACATTTTCCTGGAGTATGTGCCTGGCGGGTCTATTGCTACAATGCTGAAGCAATACAACACCTTCCAAGAACCCCTTGTCAAGAACTTCGTTCGACAAATCTTGGCCGGTCTGTCATACCTCCACGGCCGGGATATCATCCACCGTGATATCAAGGGCGCCAACATCCTAGTTGACAACAAGGGCGGCGTTAAAATCTCCGATTTCGGTATCTCCAAGCGTGTCGAAGCATCCCACCTCCTAGGTGCCCGCGCCAGTGGCGGCGCTGGTTCTCATATCCACCGCACCTCCCTCCAGGGAAGTGTGTACTGGATGGCACCCGAAGTCGTGCGGCAGACTGCGCACACCAAGAAAGCCGATATCTGGAGTTTGGGCTGCCTCGTCGTCGAGATGTTCATTGGGGCCCACCCCTTCCCAGACTGCAGTCAGCTGCAAGCTATTTTCGCTATCGGCAGCAACAAGGCGCGCCCCCCCTGCTCCAGACCACGTGAGCCAAGAGGCTGTAGATTTCCTCGACATGACTTTCCACCTGGAGTACGAGCAGCGTCCTAGTGCCGATGAACTGCTCCAATGCGAGTTCCTGGCTGCGCCTATCGCATAATCAACGGTAGCCACGGGCTTCTTTCCCTTTATTCTCTCCTGTGTCTTATCGATGCATGTATGTAATATGATTTTACGTATGATGGTGACTGTACTGTCCATTGAACGATTATCTCGGCTATGGGCTTTCTCAGTAGTACTTGATGCAACTGAGCAAAGGCTCCTGTTGTCACTTTCCAATCATCCTGTGCACTGTTGCTCGCTGTAAATGTAGATTGAATTTAAGCCAAAGATAGTACACGATTCTGAATAATCACAACGACCATGATGTAGGTCATCTCTAAAGTTACATGCTGGATATCTCAAGACTATCCAAAAGGAGATATAATAAAGACCAAAAGTATTCACCCGGTAAAAACAGCCTAGTTCACAATCTTACCGTAGAAAGGAATGCCCATGGCACTCAGGAGGAGTCGCGCGTCCTTGTCAGTTCTGGCTGTAGTGTGAAGAGTGATGTGGCAACCAGGGATCATCTTGGGGGGATACCTATGAAGCTGGGTTAGTCTTGACACAATAGAACGTGGATCACAGGCACACTTACATATCGTAGTTGACCTCAAGCTCCGGGAACAATGCAACATTCTCCGGCACCAGACCGAAAGTAATGTTACCACTGCTATCACCACTGGAACCCTTGACACCCTCCCAGTCCTTGATACGGGGCAAGACAACGTCAACCAGCTTACCAAGGAAGTGGTACATGTTCTCGCCATACAGCTCAGCCTTAACAGCGACAGAATCACGGTTCGCCGCAATACCCCAAGGAGCAACGTTAGACTTGGACTTGAAAGTCTCAACACGAACATTGGAGATAGCCTGAACGGCAATACCAGCGACGTGCAGCCAAGACGAGTTCCTCTCAGCCGCGGCGTTCTTAACATAACTGTGGATTGTGATGCGCTCGACTTCCGGGATGTTGTTAAACTTGATCGGCTTGCGGAGCAGACGCAGGACGTCGCCGCCACGGGGTCCGCGGAGGACACGGTTCTTGTGGTATGGCGAGCTATCGTCCCATTCGCGGAGACGGGCGGATTTCGGGGGAGGCTTGAAGCCTGGTGGTGTGTGCACGTAGCACAGGGTCATGATGTCGGGGGAGACGGTTGAGTCGAAGGTTTGCTCTGCTCGGGGGGCGGAGAAGGGGCCTGGGACGAACAGCCGGGAGGAGGGGTGGGATGGTGGCGGCGGTTGGTGAGGGTGAAGGGGACCACGGTTGTATTTAGGAGAGCGGAATTGGTATCTGTAATGGAGTCGCAATTAGGTATTGTTCATTGAATGTGTTCGATGTTGTTTCATGGCTGCGGATGCGCATGACTGGAGGTGTAGTCGGAGTGCTCTTACCGGCCTCGGGGAAGCTGGTTCTTGCGAGCAGCTGCCCGTGCAAGTGGGTCGAATGATGATGCCGCGCTGTTTGGGACGCTCGTTGACAGAGACGAAGCCGATTCCAGATCGGTCAAGTGGTCCGACAGACGTCTCGCCGGGGCTTCGTCGGAGACATTGCGGCGCGATAAAAAGCCTTGAGGGCGAACTGATGGCACAGAAGCCCGGGGCAGTGCCCTCGTTAGGTATCTGGATGGCTCTCTGGCGGCCATTCTGTGAGAAATGTGGTGTGATGGGTTGGTGATCATCCCGGACCCTTCCCAAAAATTGTTCGCGCGGATAGTCCTGTCACGTGAGCTATATACTAGCGCCTTATAAAACAGGCACCATATCCACCACACACGCATCTAGTCATACAGATCTTGGATAACTGATCACCTACGTTGTCTTTTTACTTGAGCAATGGCATTTTAATTTCTTCGGCACTGACCGAGCTGTCCACTTTCATTTCTAGGGCAAATGCTTCCTGTATCCGCGAAGATTTGACCAAATCTCGATCACCAAAAATGGGACTTGTTCCCGAGGTCATTTACGACACTTACTACACAAAAAAGTAATAAATTTGATGGGAACTAATTCATAGATCCATGAACCCACTTCTTCAGAATCTTGACCTGTCCTGAGGATTGATCTTTGTGGGAAACAAGCAATGTTTGCCTGACCAAAATAGACCACATAGGGGGAACCAACCTCGCTAGAAGGCAAAGGAGAAGACTCGAAGGTATGGATGGCAATTTGATACCTGTATTTTTATATTTATAGTTGAATCATGAAACGAGGGACAATAAGGACATGTGTGACTAAATTATAAGTAGACATTGCTACTAGCTTATAGGCCCTATATGAAGGTCCTAACCCTAACCTCTCAACATGGATGTAGTATCTTCGCGGACCAAGAAGAGCCTTAGGCTGGGGTTTAGGATTCAAATCAGGTCTATGCTGTATACAGATCATAGACTGCCATGATTAGGTTGTTTTTAGCTCGATTTATAGAACACACTGTCTGAACCTGACGTCAACTGGATGAACGTGTTGCTGATCAAGACAATCCTACTGGGTTAGATGAGGAAACAAAATGATATACCTTGAATATGCTGCCATTACTGTCCCTAGTACATCCCACTTACATGTATGACCACATTGTTCTATAGTTCTGGAAGTTCTAAGCCCTTGTCACCGCCCTCTTGGGGCGGTGGGACGCTAATTAGGGCATGGGTTGTCGCCTAAGGCAGAAAGGGGCGAGCTTCCTGTTCCCACTCTGCCCCGCAGATCACCTGGAGGTTCAAGTTTCCAATCATTTCGTCTGGTCTATGTACTTGTTATTGACGCGTGCTCATATCATCCGAGCTTTGCTTATGATGTATCTGGTGCGCACTTCTAACAAATCCTGCAGCCTTGACTAAGCTCGGGAGCTATCTTACAAGTCTTCTGATCCCCCGCATGTCTTTAATCTTGGGATTTTTCTTTTCAGTCTAGAAAGTTTACTCTGGGAAGTGTTCTTCATTTCCTTCATTCGCAATCATGAGTGGAATTCATCGGTTTCTCACGCGTCGCGACCGGCACAACAAGTTGAGCAAGCAAAGCAAAGAAGAGGTATGCGTGTACAGAACGCTACGATGATTCAAAATCCAAGATCTTAGATTGACTAATGTTTTGTGCTTCTTAGGCATCTCAGATACTTTCGCGTCCTACGTTTCATGGAATCTTCAAATCAGAGACAACACTGGAAGATAACCACGATCAGGAGAAGAAGGTACGGGCCCAAGCGTATGACGGTCAGCTTACACCTGTCTAATATTCTAAACCCACATAGGTCAAAGCCCTCGCTCAGCGGCTTAAACAGCTTGGAATTATTGCGATAGAGGAAGAGCATATGATTTATGCATTACAGACCACCGAAGGCGATACAGAGAAGGCATTCAGCCTGCTGCTTCTGCTAGAAGACTCTATTGAAGGAATTATCAGGAATTACACACCTAACACGAAACTCCTGGGTGCAGAGAATCGTCAAGGTGTCACATGCTATCTGGACGCGTTGTTATTCGCTATGTTTGCGCGTCTCGATTGCTTTGAGGCCATTCTGTACAAATCCTTCAATGATGAGCCTCGTCGAAAACTTGCAATCCTTCTGAGACTATGGGTGAATTTGCTGCGATCAGGAAAGCTCATAACCACAGATATGGTCAGTTCTAACATTTGTGGTTGTCCTATTTCATATTGGTACTGACTAGATTGCCTCAGACAAAACACCTACAGGAAGCCCTAGCAGAATGTGGTTGGGAAGATGCGGCCAAACTTCAGCAACAGGATGCTTCAGAAGCATTCACTTTCATTACTGAGAAGTTAGAGCTGCCACTTCTGACTTTGAAGATGGACATCTATCATACTGGAAAGGAGGATGAAAGTGATGACCATAAGTTCGTCAATGAGAGGCTTCTTGAGGTTGCCATACCTCCCGAGCCAACTGATGGGCAGTCACTTACACTGGAAGACTGTCTGGAAGCATACTTCAACAACATGATCGAAGTCAAACGACACATGGCACGACGCAACACTGCTAGCTCGCTCAGATCAATGGATTCACTCTCCATATCCAAGGGATCCACCTCACATGTTGAAACAGTGGAGATTGATACCACGCCCACTATGTCTCCTACTCAAGCAGATACACCGCGGGCCGAAAAACAAAACCCCTGGTCATCATTCAGCGAGTTCACCGAATCCCTCGAGGCATCTCGGACACCTGGTCGGCGTGGGAGTATTGTTCGAGAGCGGTTCTTTCCTGATTCAAGTGAGGATACAAACACAGGAGATTCAAAAACGGACAAAGATACCAGGGCAGATCAAGATGCCAGTGGAGATACGCTACCGCGCAGGGGCTCATACAAGAAAGAGGTAATGATGCCTGCATGGCAATTCTTCAGCCTGATACGTATGTCATCTCCTACTTCTGTTCTTTGAGTTGTGCATGAACTGACCTGATCTTGCTCAGCGTGGTATACCGACAATACACCAACAAACGACGCACAAGTTGCAGCACACTTTTCTTCAAAACGGCCGATTCTTGGGATGTGCCTGAAGCGCTATTCCTTCTTGCCAGACGGAAGAGCAATCAGACTTAATACACACATTGATATACCAACCGAGATCGGCCTACCACATTTCATCCAAGATGACAACTTAGATGCGAATGCTCCTATATTTGGGAGCTTCAAACTCTCTTTGCAGGCTCTAGTCTGCCACAGGGGCAACTCGGTGGACTCGGGGCATTACATTTCCCTTGTTCGAGGCACTAGCTGCCCCAATACTGGCACTCATGCGACCACAGGTCCGCAAGCCACAGAGATATCAAAACACTGGATGCGGTTTGATGATCTCGCCGCAGAACGAGTCACACTGGTTGATATTGATCAAGCCTTGAAGACCGAATCTCCATATCTTCTGTTTTATCAAATTCTTCCTATCGGCGAAGATCCATCTGCGCCCAGCATCCCAAATGCACCGTCATCGCGGGCTTCAGATGGCAGTACACTAGCTGATCAAGTGGATTTCAGCCTCGAAGACCTTTCTTCTGACCGACCAAGTGTTGAAATCACGGTGCCATGCGAGACTGATGCGCCAACATTAGCCAGCATCGCAAGGCGACCCAGCATAGCATTCTCAGAAATCAGTAATCCAACCGGTCTTCAGCCGCGGTCTGTTCCATCATCCTCGCCTAGGCTGGCATCAATGGAAGAAATAAGCACCAAGGGAACATCATCTTCACGCCGTGGATCTCGTTCGGCCAGGAGTACCCCCGGAAGCCGTGCTGGCAGCCAAACGAGTGAAAATCGAATTAGTGCCACATTTTCACGCTTTGCCGAACGACTGAGTCGGGATAAAGTTAACAATGACTTTAATGAGGCAAAAGAAGGGGATGAATTTGCATTGGAGATTGATGATACTGTGGACGATATGAAACTGGGGCCAGCTGCCCTTGAGAACAAGGAGAAGCGCGGAAGAGGCCGAACGAAGGATCGCGAGAGATACAAAGGGAAGTCCAAAGAGAAGTCCAAGGAGAAGGGCAAGAAGTTGGACCGGGAATGTGTAGTGATGTGAGCCAGGCCGTTGATGTCAGGATTTACTTTTTTTCTTTTTCTTTGAGATACCCAGTCCAGCTGTTGCATGTTTCATAATTGATGATACCCATGATGCATGAGCGGTGACTTCCGGTGTTTGTGAATTTATGTTGAAATCAACTGTCCACGAATGATTCTGTTTTGCTGTGTTATATGGATCTCTCAAGGTAACTGTATTTTTGTAGTTCTGATTTGGTGATACATGGTTTACGCCTCAGGTGTCAAGGCACCAGGGGCCTCCGCATTCCTTCGACTTCTAGAGCCCATTCCGTCCTGCATCAACCCGCAAGACCTTCAACCTGCCTTAACCTTTGTATGAGCGGCATGACATAGTGTGTCTACAGCTAGCGCACCATGGCGCTGGACGGATCCAGCAGTTATGTTGCTCCGAGCAACTTGATGCAGTCACCGAGCTCTTCCCTCCCCATGTTCGACGTTGAACGGGTACAATTGGCCTTCTCCGTCGCTGCAGACTTCGTCGCAGCCCAAGTCGCAAACAATGTGCTAGTGCTAGCTTTATCAACCAATCGAATTCTTCGAATTGATCTTGATTCCCCTGAAGATGTCGAAGGTAAGCCTCCGAACCTTCCCCGCAGCAAATACCAGCCACAAGTTGACCTAACCGTGCCCACGAACAACAGACATCGATCTCCCCAAGAAATCCTCAGAAGTTGGAGTGATTCGGCGCATGTTCCTCGACCCTTCGGCATCTCATTTGATCATTACCACGACACTCGGCGAAAACTACTATCTCCACGCTCAGTCACCGTCGCGACAACCGAAACCTTTGACCCGGTTGAAAGGCGTCTCAATCGAAAGCGTTGCTTGGAATCCCTCTTTACCCACTGCCTCTACTCGTGAGATTCTCATTGGTGCCACTGATGGCAACGTCTACGAAACTTATATTGAACCCTCCAGCTACCGGCAGGAGAAGTATACAACCCCGGTCTACCAGGTGCCAGGCGCCTCTCCAGTGGTTGGGGTCTCGGTGGAACCGGTGCCATCTAAACCTGATCAAAGAAGGGTACTTGTGGCAACCTATGGGAAGCTGCTGCATTTCATTGGCCGGACAGGAGTTTCAAGACATGGGAGGGAAAGCGGCGTGTATTCGGAGCTTTTCCAGCGCGAGATGCCAGTGATCCACGAAGCTCAGAACGCATCTAGCTCTGCGCCATCTTCGCTGGTAATTTCGCCTACAATTGCTGAGAATTACCAGGCCGAGGGGTATGCCGAAAAGCAGTTTGCGTGGCTCAGTTCCGAGGGGATATACCATGGCCGGCTTGCGTCGGAGTCACCATTCAACACCGCAAATATGCTTGCGCGCTCGATGTTTCCAGCATCGGAATCTCCACGAGGAGGGCGCAAGTTGATACAAGACCCGATTTCTGCCATGACTCTGTCACAGTGGCATGTTCTAGCACTTGTCGGGGGTAGGGTGGTCGCAGTTAATCGTCTGAGCCAGGAAATCGTCCACGATCAACCTGTGTTGGAACATGGGCAAAGTGCGCTGGGCCTCTTGACTGATCTTACCAAAAATACATATTGGCTTTTCACCAGCCAGGCCATTTTTGAAGTTGTAGCAGGTGATGAGGACAGAGATGTCTGGAAGATCTTTTTGAAAGAGCAAAAGTTCGACGAGGCCCTTCAGTATGCCCGTGGTGCTGCCCAGCGGGATGCTGTTATGACTGCCTTGGGTGACTTTTTGGCACGCAAAGGTAAATTTCTTGAGGCAGCCAAAGTATGGGGCAAGAGCAGCAAAGGGTTCGAGGAGGTTTGCCTCACTATGATTGACCATAAAGAGCATGATGCTTTGCGCAATTACCTCCTCTCCCAGCTGGCAACTTACAAGAAGGCCTCGCTTATGCAAAGAATCATGGTGGCGAGCTGGCTTGTGGAACTGTTTATGTCAAAGTTGAATTCTCTCGATGACAATATCGCCACCAAGGCTGAATTGGCAGAAGGCACAAGCACCGGAGAAATCAAGGATCAGCTTGGCAGCATTCGAGCTGAGTTCCAAGAGTTTGTGAGCAGCCACAAAGCAGACTTAGACAAGAAAACAGTATACGATATTATCAGCAGCCACGGGCGGGAGGAAGAATTGTTGTTCTTCGCAACTGCTACAAACGATTACAACTACGTTCTATCGTACTGGATTCAGCGTGAGAAATGGCTGGAAGCCTTGAAGGTTTTGCAGCGGCAAAGCGAAGCCGATGTGTTCTACAAATATAGTAGTGTGCTGATGACACACAAGCCAACAGACCTGGTTGATATTCTGATGCGACAGACGAACCTTGACCCTGAGCGACTGATTCCCGCGTTGTTAAATTACAACAAATCTGCGAGCGTCTCCTCCCTCAGCCAGAACCAAGCCGTCCGGTATCTGAACTTCATCATTGTCAACCACCCAAATCCATCTGCAGCAGTCCACAACACCCTTATCTCAATACATGCCTCCAGTCCTTCCTCATCCGAGGCTGGACTGCTTACTTATCTCCAATCACAACCAGCATCCCCCCCTCCATACGATGCAGACTTCGCACTTCGCCTATGCATTCAAAATCAACGAATTCAGTCCTGCATTCACATCTACAGCACAATGGGACAGTATCTGCAGGCTGTAGAGCTAGCCCTGGAGCACAATGACATAGAACTTGCCGCCATCGTCGCAGACCGCCCAGAGGGCAACGACAAGCTCCGTAAAAAACTATGGCTCCTTGTCGCTGAGAAGAAGATTCGCCAACCAGGCACGGGCATCAAAGACGCGATTGAATTCCTGCGCCGCTGCGAGCTGCTCCGCATTGAGGACTTGATCCCATTCTTCCCCGATTTCGTTGTCATCGATGACTTCAAAGATGAAATCTGTACAGCTTTGGAGGATTACTCACGCCACATTGACTCGCTCCGCCAGGAAATGGATAACTCAGCCCTGACAGCCCGTCAGATCCGTGGTGAAATTTCCGGTCTCGATACTCGCTACGCGATCGTTGAACCAGGTGAGAGGTGCTGGATCTGCTCGCTACCTGTGCTCAGCCGTCAGTTCTTCGTCTTTCCCTGCCAGCATGCTTTCCACAGTGACTGTCTGGGTAGGGAGGTTTTGGAGGGCGCTGGTGGCAAGAAAAAGTATATTCGCGACCTGCAGGCGCAGCTCAGTAGTGGCGATATCTCTGTCTCACGACGTGAGGAGATTGTTAAAGAATTAGATGGACTAGTCGCTGAAGCTTGGTATGTTTATTTCCCTAATAGCTTATCAGTAGTGCATCTCACTAACCATATTTTTTTTCGCAGTATCCTCTGCGGTGACCATTCCATCAAACAAATTGACAAACCCTTCATTGCAAGCTCGGAATCGGCCGAGGATTGGGCTCTCTGACATGCGTCTGCCAATCAATTTTGATGTGTTCACCATGGCATGATGCGCCGTTTGATTTCCTCGCGTGGGTGGTCAGCCAAGATTCTGCGGACTCCTAGTTTTCCTTTTGATTTTTCGCAATACCCTTCCTTAAGCAGATGCTACACAATACATGAGGCCTCGCCCTCGTATATAGACATGGCTATACTAAATGTGATTTGGATTCAAACATTAGATTTTGAAAACACTGGAAAAGTTACTAACACAAACACAATAGTACACTGTGAGTAACCCACTCAACTCCATACGCAGATAAACAAATCCTCAAAGATGTAGTTGAAAAGGAGATAGTGATGAACAGAGGGCTATGTATATCTCAGAATAAAGAATATAACCTACCCCATAGAGCGCAGAGTAGCTAATTCTCAGGCCATAAATACCGCAGCAGATCCAGATCCTGCGCAATGGCCGGACTATGCGCTGCACAGTCCTCCAAAAACCCTAGCATCTCTTCATTCCAGCGTTCCCATCCATCAGGCAGTGTCTCGCGGACACGAGCACTCGGCGAATGGGCTATACAATAGAAAAGCAGGATTTGGCCAAAGAATCTCGAAAGAAAAGTCAGCTAAACCCGTTCGAAAATATAGTTTTGTTGAAATATAGAAGGGCAACTCACTGTGAACAAAACGCAAACTTAATCGGAATACAGCTCTTCATTTTCCGGAAGATGCCCTGGGTAACCGGCCAGTCCATTGCATTCTGGAGACCGCTTCGTACTTGCAAAAAGTCTTCGTCTGTTAGAAGATGCGGGATTCGGAGAGCTTTGTATAAATACGGGCGGCCGATGTGGAAGCGCGCGATCATGTGTCGGCCTTTGAGCATGGCATCTGCTACTGCTATTGCCGCGGATAATGGCTTGTTCGGATCTGTCTGTCTTTGTCTTGGGGAAGACATGTGCGCTGGGGATGCTACTGAGGCGGACGGGGATGGGTGGATGGAGGGAGTTGCTGGGGTTGGGTGGGAAGAGTAGGGGGCGTTGTTGAATTTGATTGCTGGTGGGAGGTTGGTGCGCCATTGTTCTAGTTGATGATGTAGCTCTGAGTTTATGGCTGGGAGGGGGAAAGTTCCTGAGTCGGCTAAATAGGGAACAGGTGTTAGATGAGTTTTGGCTTTTGTTTTGGGTGTCTAGCAGAATGACTCACAGTAGAAGTAGAGGGAATGGCGGATGCGCGTGAGGATGATGCGGTGGGCTACCTGGGCCAGGAAATGATATTGGAAGTATGAGTCGTCGACTACGCTTGATGAGTTGAAACGGTTTGAGGCGTAGCCGGTCGTTTCGAAGCCGATGAATTTGGGAATTGGGACTTGTTCTTCGAGGCGGGAGAGGCCGCTTGAGGGGAGGTGCAGCTCTTGTACGAGAATGGTCTCGTTCATTAGACAGTTCCAATATACGCGGGATTTCATATCGCCTTCCCACTCATCGAAATTCACATTATGGCTGTATACGAGTCAGTATTGTTTTAGGTATTCAAATGTATAGGACTCACTTCGTCAACATTGATAGACAGCAGGTGGCAGCGCGAGAAATCATCGTCCAAGAATCCATCGGACGAGGAATTTGGTTATAATAT